GACATTTGGAGAGAAAGAAGAAACGGGATATCTAGTAGGATAAGAAGGAATAGAGATGGGAGAGTGAAGGAAATAGTGGGTGAGTTGAGGGTGAGAAGTGTCAGGATCGCGAGGCCGGCATCGAGTGGGGAGGCTGCGCTTATGCCTCCCCTCAGCTCAGGGCGAACTTCTGCGATGCAATGTTTGTTTACGACACCGTTCTGCGATCGGGTGCCAAATTTGGAGGGATGCTAGAGCGGTATGTAGCGGCAAAGTTAGCCCGCAGATGCAGCACATTAATAACAGCCTCTCAGCCTTGTGCATGAGGGTCCGACACTTTACACTTTGCAAAGTGACATGGAAAGGGTCGTGTCGTGCAGGTAGGTTGGAGGGGAACCGCAACGAATGTTGGCTATTGTATTAGGCCGATCGTCTGCAATGGAATTGGAAGATGTCGCATTGGCTGCCAATTGACTGCTGTCCGTGGTACCGGCTCCACCAACGACCTTCAACTCTGAGAACACGATCCAGCCCGAAGGAACAGGCATCGCGCGATTGGACGAGTGTGCAATCCTCCTCACTTTGGTGGTGCATTTACGGCTTCCCATACGCCATGGCCGCGCAATCATGCCGGCCGGGTTCTCATCCGCCTCGATCAAAAGCGACGTCGAGGTGGATCTTGTAGACCTAGATCATAGCGTGTATCTGAACTGCTTGTTCGTCTTGTCTGTGAGATCATCCTCATACGCGTGCTCGAATCCCTCCATCGTCCCTGTCTTGTCCCTGCGCTTGTTATCCCAGATGCACACGTACCTGTAAACAATTGCGAGCAGTCCGGATACGATGGACGTAATCAGAACAGCAACAAACCCAGGCGCGTACACTGGCGCGTCTTTCGGTTTGAAGAGAAGCGGTCCGACGAAGTTGCCTACCGGGATGTTACAATTAGAACTGTCATCAGAGGGGCCGAGAACATTTGAAGTGCGACTTACCGAGACAATAGCCAACGAATATTCCGGAGGATGTAACGGATCGTTTGGTATACCCCGCGGTGTTCGCAATTTGCAGACCCATTGTGACCGCATAGCCTCCACCGAACGAGGCGAGAATGTAACAAGCGAACAGGAGACCACCCTTCGCACTGCGGGGAAGCTGCCAAAGGAGAATTGACGCGAGGATTGTGCCGAGCTGACATATGGCGATGAGCCACGTTCGGATCTGGGGAACCCGATAGGCAAGGTATGGGACACCGAGCTCGATGCTGCCAATCACCACGCCCGCAGGGAGTGTCAAGAGCAGAGAGTTGAGGCTATTGAAACCAAATCCGGAGATGATGATTGGGATGAAGGACGAAACGGGACCGTTTGCTATCATCATTAGGAACGCGATTGAAAAGATGAGCCAGAATTTGACATCGAGAAGACTCTCCCAAAGCTGTCCAATCTTAAAATGCGTATTCCGGACACCCGAATTGTTGGCACGCATGCGGGCGACAGCGATGTAGCGCTCACGGTCGTTGAAGCCCTTCGCGCGTATCGGGTCCGGGGGCATGAGGAAGAATATCACGACGGCCCAGAGCACGGTGATCGCGCCGGCGACAAGGTACATGTACTGCCAACTGTTAAGCCCGCCGCCTTTGATGTGACCGAGGCCGTAATTGATGAGTGGAGAGACTAGAGACATGTGAGTTCCGTCCATCGTGTGAGAACGATAACGATATGCTTACCAGCGGAGACGTATCCCGTGCAGCAATACCAAGCCCCCATCCGCAAAGCTTGTTCGGGCTTCTTGTACCAGGTTCCGACAACAAGCATAAACATTGGCGATATACCGGATTCTAGGAAACCCAAGAAGAATCTTTGGGCATAGAAACTCTGCCAATTATGGCATCCTGCCGAGCACCTTGACAGAAATGAGTATGCTTCCCGCACCGACAGAGTTTAAGGAGCTTAACTTACATGAGGCAAATTCCCCATACAGTGACGATGGCCGAGGCGACTCTTTCGATTGGCCAGCGCTGGGCCATGAGAATGGCTGGATACGAGCCCACGATGAAACCGAGATAGAATATGCTGGCGGAGAAGGAGTAACGGTTGCCAACACTAAGTTTCAGGTCCTCGCGGAGACCGAAGATGGCCTAAATCATCATTATTGGGAGACTCGAGGAGATATAAGATAATACAAGGGACATACTGCTTGGGACAACATGGCCTTGTCGTAATATTGGAGGCCATATGTGATGCATAGGATCGGCAGGAGCCTGCGATCGATTCTACGAACCAGCTTTTTCTCTTCCTCGGGTTTCCAGGTATCCTCGCCCGCGTATCGTGCGAGAACTTTGAGAGCCTCATCTTGATGAACGGTATCGACGGTCTTTATGTGTTTCAATTCTTCGAGGGTCTTTGGCTCCGATTCGAGCTGCTGAATGGCTGGTTTACTCGAGTGTTCCATGATAGGGTCAAGCGACGGATGCGAGCATAAATGATACGCGGTAATTCTCAGAAAGTCGAATAAAGGACGAGAAGAGCAGGACTAGAAGAGGGCTAGAGAAGGTAAAGATGGAAGTGACTCGCCATATGCGATTGATGCTGGACCATTACGCATACCAAGGCCTTGTAGCGGGACAAGAACAAAGCCAAGAATGAGGCATAACCAGCAGGTGCGGGGGGAAGCGCAGTCATCGCAAAGGCGCATCGTTGTGGGTGATCGGAAGGGGCTGTGGGTTGGTGGACGCGAGGCGAATCTTGACTGGACTTAGCTGACTCGAAGGTTTAGGCAAGGTGTTCGACAGTATGGCAGTTCAAAACGGACAAACTTCGGCTCCATTCCAGCGAAGAACTTTACAGGTCCTCGGGTGCTTGAAGGATCCACAACAGAAAGACTGTAAGAACCTTCGAAGATCCAAGGGTGGCGTTTTGGCTACTGGGAGTGGTCACGTGGAGTCGCCCACCCTCGAGGGCTTCGACTTCCAGGCGCGCTTCAGAGACAAAGGAAGGAGAGGAAGGGACATCTGTGATACGATGCCTTTGCACGGTGTTGGAGTTGATGCTGAATGATGGGCGTGTCGATGGGTTGGTGTCTAATTATGTGAGGTTGAGAAACCTTGGAAGAAGATCAGCATCCCGGCACGTGAACACGCGATGAGGGGCTCTCAATCCAATCCCTTCGCCGGGGGAATCCTCGCATCTTCCTGTACTGCAGGGACTCTACACTTCGTGATCGGTAACCCTCGGGCTGACTCGGTGTCGGCTTCCTGCATGAACAGCTCCAGACCAGCTACGATCGACGAACCGAATCGCGCCGCAAGATACCGTGCCTCTTAACACCGGTACACCGACGAATAAGGAAGCGTCGTGGGTAGCACAAAGAGGAGGAGGAGGGTATTCCAGTGAACTTTGGTAAGGTGATTGCATTATTGCATCCGACGGACAATGACGCCGCAAGGAACGAAATAACGAAAGAGAGCGCCTCAGAACATAGAGCAGGTATATTGAAATAATATTCACCCGCCGCTACCATCACATCCCCTCACGAACATGCGATCGATTCTTCCGCGCTGCCTTAGCCACACTTCACAGGAAGGGCTTTCTCGCTTGTCGGAGTCTTAGCCAACTCCACCTCTGCCGCCCTGCGCCGCTGCAATCCCGGAAGAACCTTACCTCCCGCATATACCCATTTTGGCAGCTCCTCCGAGATAACCTTGATGGTGTCCTCTCCGGCGTTGAGGCGCTTGATCAGAGTCGAGTCCGCCACCGCTCCGTTACCCTCGTTGAAGGCCCACGACACAAGCGCGCCATACTGGTTCGCGTTCAACACGACCGACTCTGCTGTGTCGAGAGTAATAGCTTGTTGGGGAGACTATACGTGTGTTAGACAGATTCGTGCAGGGTGCAGAGCCTTGGTAGAGGCCAAATGGCGCGACCATGGATTGATCAAGCACCAGGGAAAGCTTGATTGCACGACCACGAAGCTACGAACCTTGAGATCTTCCATCAGCAGCTGCGTGGCTGTGGCCTTCGTCAAAGGGAACGAATACTTGGGCTGTATTTCTGCGCAGTTGGTCTTCTGGCAGAGATGCCCGTATCCCACAGTAGGTAGACCGATTGGATCGGGCTCTGGACGAGCAACGAAGCCTTCGAACTCTTTGATCAGGGCGACAGTTGCATCATTGACATTGGGGCCAATGCATGCGCGCTGTTCAATCGGCGAGGCAAAGGTCGCAGGTAGAAGGGCGATACCGAACGCAAAGATGGCTTGGGCATGCATAGTAGCGAGGCTGAGTATATTTCGATTGAATATGTTCTTCAATGAGAAATAATGAGAGCTTGCTTGATTCCTGTTTCGGGGCACTATCCATCGCCTTATATACCATTCCGCGGTATCCCATCTCACAGGCCAGATTCGTATATCGCATTCTGCAACTCCTCATTTCCTCTCGCCTTTTACGTCAAACCGCGGGCCCAAATACGGAAGGTAAATTAAATTCGCCCCATGATACTCCGCAGCGTCCTTCCATTTGATCACCTAGTAGTCTCCAATCCGACCGTGTGTTGCACAAAACAATCTCGAGTCTTCAGCTCTGGGGAAGATCTACCAGCCCCATGCATCATCCGTCCGACCCCATATTGTTTCCTCGCAGCGCTGCCTCGTATTCAACGTATTTCGCGGAGAATGTCCCTTGTCTGACATGATGTCTCGTGTTTCAATGCTTCGGCGCGGTGGTTCGTGGCGTGTTTCAACCGGGGGCCGAGAGCGAGATCGTGATCTGCGGCACCGGGCGGGATGCATCATGCAGGGTGGCGGCAAGGGTGGGCGAGCCGCCTCAACCCCAGCCCAATTCTGATATAGATGCTGGTGTAGGCGTGGGTTACTTGGAGTTACAAAAAGGGGGGCTGATCTCTCGTGAAGCACGAAGAGAGAATAGTAATACCTATACTCTGTTGATCTCTCAAAAATAAAAGCAAAAATGTCGCGGATCTGGCTGCGGCTCTGGCTAAACCTAGCGCCGAGCCATCTCCGGATGATGAGAGCAGGAATCGAACCCACGTCGTCCTCGTCCCGAAGGAAGAGGAAGTGATAACCACTACACCATCGCACCTTTTGAATTATAGATGAATGGAAAAGATTCTAATATATATACACTCATAAAACCCAAGAAGAAAAGGTTCAAATTGCAAGACAGATCCGTGTGGGTGGCACGATAACTCACCGAGCACTAGAATGAGGCAATCATCTGTCCTCGTGGCAAGTAGGGACTAGCCAGGCACCAATTCACTCACTGCGTTGCTTCCCAATCTGGACGACCACCACTCGGAGAGCTACCCCTCCACAGCCCCCATGCACATGAATTGCCAGTCTACTCGCGACCGAGACAGATATCACTACTCGGTGAGCCTTACTGCAAATCCAGCGGAAGCAGTACCATGTTGCCTCTCCTCACCCACCAACGCTGTCAGTCTAGCTCCAGTTTCGCTTTTTACTTCTACGACACAAGGATCTGCTAAAAGCAAAGATAGCACCAGGACAGTAGTCCTGACTGCAATTATCCTGCTACCTTGACGCCACGGCGACGATGACACTGAGACATCTGGGTGCTGCGACTAGCCCTCCACTGCGGCCGCTGCTTCGCCTGGCACCAGGTTTCCTTCCCATCCAATTTCACGCACTCCCGAGATGTTCTCGAAATTGAAGGATATGTATACATATATGCTCATTTTCAACACGTAAAAGCTATCAACAATCCGCAAATGTAGTCTTTTTCCCACCGCCATCTTCGCCAATTCTTCCTACAAAGAGGTATCAACGCCTGCTTCCCTGTAGAGTGGCAGCAGCACGATTGTTCCAGGGGCATCAGGCGACGCGGTCATCTGGCGATCGACGACTGCCCACACGCTGCCCAACAAACTCCTGAGGACATATGTTCCCACGATGACACCACTTCAAGGTCATTCTGGTCACGTCCACCGCCTCATTGCCGTCTTATCGCCGCCCGACCCTTCCTTTTGGACATCCCACGTGCACAATATGAGTCCCTTATCACATCCAGACCGGCCTCGAGTCATTCGGAGAGATTGCAGCGCCAATTGAAGGGCGCTCAAGTATTCACAGGCCCCCCTAATTGGATGCAGGAGGGGCAGCGGGGTGGTTGACGTAATCTCGGAGTGGGCCATACACCGCAACTTCAACTGCCGTCCCCGTCACGGCCGTCGGCAGCCTCCAGGCTGGCAGAACGGCTCACCGCCGGAGCAGAGCTCCCCTGCCGGCCCCCGAGGTGCATAAGTACAGGCCGTCCCCCTCCCAAAACTATTTCTTCTTTTCCTCACAAACTCTTACGCCGAGCCGTCTCCGGAGGGTGGGGAGAGACTGACATTTCCCCGACTTCAAGCTTCGCGTCAGGAAATCTCAGTCTCTCCCCACAACCTGCGAGGAGCTGCATCGTGAAAGTGTATTAGTAAATCCGGTAAGTCTCTTCGTTCTTCCTCTTTCATTCTAGCAGCTGACCTTCTGCTAGGGGTTCGCCACTGTCGACGCCGTTCCAAGTTTCCCACGCCATCACAAGATGTGATGAACATGGAGTATACGTTACACGGTGAGTCTCCTCGTTCCTTCTCTTTCCATTCAGCAGCTGACCTTGAAGTCAGGCTTTCTTCGACCACGACCTGCGACCGCTGCATCGTGAAAGTGTATTAGTCAAGTCCGTGAGTCTCTTCATTCTTCCACTTTCATTCCATCAACTGACCTTCATGCCAGAAGTTTTTCGGCGACGACCTGCGACAAACATGACCGCTGCATCGTGAAAGTGTAGTGGCAAAGCCTTGTCGACGTGAGTATCCTCGTTTCTTCTCTTTCATTTCGGCGGCTAACTTTCATGCCAGCCCAGCGAGGCAGTTTGCCACCGTCGACGCCATTTCAACGACCACTCCGCCACCATCTGCATAGGTCCTGGCGCTATACTGCCATCCCCGAATTTGGATCTGGGTTTGGAGCTGGTACTGGCTATCGTGGAGGCCAACCAGGCTACGGAGGTGGCTATTCTAAAGGAGGCCACTATAAGTATGCATCGTCTGTCTATTCTGGATACTTGCAGGGTGCATATTTTGACTCTGATTTGGCTTTTGTTTGTTTTCTGCCAAATTGTGTTGCAGATGGAGTGTTTGTCTCCCCAATGTTTCATAGGGTAGGATGATTCTGGTGGCACTAGGGTAAGATGACCCTACGAGGACTCCAATACACATCGTCGAAGGTTTCTGGCACTTCTGGACAGTACATAGCTGGTGCATGCGCTTTGCAGTCATCGCAGTGGCGACTTCGGAATGGAAATGGTTTCACTTCACACTGATGCTTGCGCTTTCGTGTCTGCTTCCTGTGACTGTGATATCGTGATGCCTTGTGTGTGCGTGATCTCACCTTGTGTGGTTGCGGCTTTAGCTGCCTCTGAAGGAGGCGTGTGAACAATCCCGCCCTCGAACCAAACCGCACGCACCAACCTCGCCCTCGACATGGAGAAGCAACTCCAAGAACTCAACCAGACGACCACGATCAGCCTCGTTGCCCTTGTCTTTCTCCTCAGCGTCACGCTCTACATCTACAACAAGATCCACCTCCTCCGTCGCCTCTACCCGATTAGCCGCAGCGGCGGCGAGATGGCCCTGATCTGCCTCTTGTGGCTCTTCTGGATACAGATCTGCATGATATGGATTGCGATCAAGAGGCAGGAGAGGTTGGTCGCCGAGTTGGTCGCCCTGGTCAAGAAGTAGGAAGATGGTGGGTGACTGGAAGGGGGAGTACGGGGAGATATTTCGCTCTTGGGGCTTCTTTGCATACAGCGGTGGAGTTGGTTGGAAGAGCCGGTTGGTTATGTGGCCTCTTGGAATGAATTGAAGCTGTTTTTACACTCGTGTGTTTTGTATTTGGGTGCGGAGATGGTGATCTATCGGAGCGCGCAGCTTTGGAGGACACCAGCGATGTCTCCCAGGTGTCCATCCTACCGTGAAGCTCGAGCTGAAGTTCTAGAAAGTGCCTACAAAGCTTAGGAGAGCAGCTGGCGGCGGATGAGAAGCTAGTTACGAATGGGGGGGGGGGAGGCGGCGCAAAACAGCCCGGATCTTTGGGCGTAGGTAGCCAGATTGCACGTCCTCAAGGGCATCGGATCGGCTTCAGAATGCCTTGAGCTGTTAGCAGCGGCAATCAATTCCCTATAAATATTATCCTTTCTGCCCCTTTGTTAAGTTTCGCGATATCCGCAGCCAGTGTGCCCCTCTCCGGCATGCCAAGCCATTGTGGAAAACGGCTTTGGCGGCCTTTGGGGAATCGCCAACACCAATAGCCACACCAAAACATTATACAGCCCAGCAAGATTCTCGGATACACCTACTATTACTTCTCTTATACCGGAAAGTCGAGTCAATGCGCTTACACGCGATGCAACGGCGGATTGGGATGCAACCAGGGTCTTGGACACCGCGCGCTGCCACACCGTCACCAGTCCCCCGCCCGCTATCGAGCCCTGACCTCGGCCATGACAGCCTGATGAAGGCTCTGATACCACTGTCCAACTCTTCTATGGTTTCCTACCGCCGTCCACCATCGTGGAGCGCCCGGAAGCTTGCCGCTCTGCGAGCTGACGAGATGAGGGGAGATGGAGAAGGATAAGGATACCACCGGCCCCCCGCAGACGCCAGACTCTCACCACAACCCCAGGACGGAAATGGTATGTAAGCCCTTGGGAATCCCTGATAGGAAACCAAAAATCCTAGCACCGGGAGGCCGGAGACGCGGAATGGCCTACTGCCTGCAGCTAATCGTATCCGCGTTCATTGACAGGGCCGGCGCCGCACCCGAGCGATTGGATCTCCCTCGAGTGCGAATTACCCCCTACTTTTATCCACCTTCACATTCTCCTCCGCTGTGCCGGAAACAAGGCGCGTCACCTTTCCGCTTCTCCGCACCCTCACGGCGCCTCATAGGCAAGCGCGCAACTGACAGGGGCGCCTGGAAGACACACTCGTGCTCTGAAGCGCTGGGCGGTACCCAAATACCGGCGTGAGACCGATTGGTGGTCGGTCCTTGAACTAGATTGTCGCCGCGCGCCATCCTGCACGGCACGGCCTCCCGACAGGCTGGACTACCCCAACGGCCTCGCATTAGCGGTACTACCGACGACCTACACTTGGTACGATCAACTAGGTGCTCGGGGTACACTGCTTTGGGGATATATCGTGCCCTTGAACCTTTTCAAGGTAGGGCAGGTAAGACAACCAGTGTTCTTGAATTGAGCAACTCCGATTCAGACCAAACTTACGGTATTGCTGAACAGGACGGCGACTTACATACATCGTCTCGAACTGCGTGGGGAACGAAGACCCTCGAAGGCCGGCACCGTGAGACCTTGAAGACTCGGCCGGCGCAAAGTTTCAACGCCTCATAGCTCTGGAACCGAGACTCTGCTGGCCTAAGTATCGTTCGGGGAGCGGCACAATGTCTCAACTCGCGGCTGCCGCGTTGGCACACTGCAAAATGGGATCATGGGGGCTAGGCAAACTTCGAGGCATCGATCAACAACCGGGGGCAAAATACCGGCAAGACATTCGGGCTTCGATGAGAACCCGATCGGTCGCCTTCACCAAAGAGGATACCGAGAATGAAGTGTCGAGGCCTTCACTGATTCGTTCGCTTTCGAGTCTAGCGTCATGTCAGAAGTAACAATTGGGATACGACTACAGCGGCGGATATCAATGTCGACGCTGATGAATCTTCGCCCTCGAAGCTGCCCCCAGGTCAAAGTATCAACACCCCAGGATGAGAACTCAGATGTCTCCGCAAGTCGACATCGACATCGACATCGAGGCGGCGATGGCACGGCCAAGACCGATTCCGATTCCGCGTCAAACGAAATTGAGACAAACGTTCAATTGCTTCCACTGAAACGGACATCGGGGTCAACATCTGCATGCCTTAGTTCGCTTGGTGTCATGCTGGGGTAAAGATGCCAGAGAGGTTGGTGCAAGAACGCACCTCTCTTTGCCGAAGGAATATCGAAGTCGTCGCTCCCTCAGACTTCCGCTGCTCTCAATTCTGACGAACTCAAACAATAGGGGC